CTAATATAAATTCTGAAGAGGACTTGGAAGCAATAGTACAAGATCAAAACAATTTAGAGTCTGCAGAAGAAGGTCCACTGCAAAATAAACCAGGGTCAAATTCTTTAGCGGAAGTAGGTTCAAGTCAACAATACGAGGGGGAAATATCTTCTCTTTATAGTTATGTTCAACCATCAACTTCGTTATCTGAACCAATCTCTGATTTCAGTAATAACAAAAGAGAAATAAATGTCTCAGGGGCATCTGAAATTCAAGTTCCCGGTCATGAGAAACGCGCGTATGAAGGTTATGAAGATTTCTCAGAAGATCCCAATGTGAAAAAAAGAAAAGCCGACATTAAAAATTAGGGAGATTTCAGCAAGCAATCTAAAAAATCAAGCTGAAAAAATGCTTCAAACTTCTAATTCAAAATATCATGCCGCTAAAAAGGGTGACACAGTTAGAGTTCGAGTCCCAGATGTCGACAGAGGTCGCACCGATGGAAGAAATATTTTGGCAATTGTCCTTGAAATAACAGATGATAATCTTTATAAATTAGGCACGAAACATGGAATCCTAAATCAACTTTATGCTATATAGGAACCAATTTACAATATGTAATGAAAAATGTATTAATGCCGAAGAAATTCCACAGTCAGAAATTTCACTAAGGGAATGTTCAAGAATGTCATCCAAGAGTGGGGGCCAAGGCTGTAGTCGGTGCGGCTGTAAAGGAGACTGTAAATCTGACAAGTGGAAGTGCCGTAAAGAAAAAAAGCTTTGTAACTCGAAATTACACCAAAGTGGAAGCTGTTCTAATAGAAGCTCTAGAATTTGACATTTTGTATGTATAATGTATTTATGCACCGGTACCTAATATGTTTTTTCAGTTTTTTACTTAAAAATTTGTTTTTAATGTAATAAATCCTCTTATTTTTGTATGTAGACAAATATAAATAAAAATATTCTCAAATTGCCCACTCGACTTCCAGCATTATTCATAATGCCTGGGCAATGTGATTTTTTCTATAGAATGTTATGAAATTATTAAGTCCGACTCTGTCTAAGCACGCAACCTTCACATAGCAACGCTGACGTGTAGCCCAATCGGATTAGGTGAAGAACAGGCTTGAGATTCTGAAAAATTCGAAGCAGCAATTTTCCTTCGGAATTCGTTGGAGGGGGTCTCTGGTAGTCTAAATTCAAAAAGTTGGGATTCCAAAGTTGTCGTTACCTCCGCCATCTTGATTTAAAGGGTTATTTTTTGTATCTTGAATAACTCATTTATTTTCAATTTTACACGGAAAATAGTTTTTACAAAAGTTATTTAAAATTAAATTTCCTACAATTCTGCTTTTTTTTTGTACGATCGATTTTTTTCGATTTATACCCGAAAAGAGGGGGTGAATTTTTGGTTATAGAATAACTCGTTTATTTTCAATTTTACGAGAAAAATTGTTATAAACAAAGTTGTTTAAAATTAAATTTCCTACAATTCTGCTTTTTTTTGTACGATCGATTTTTTTCGATTTATACCCGAAAAAAGGGGGTGAATTTTTGGTTATAGAATAACTCGTTTATTTTCAATTTTACGAGAAAAATTGTTATAAACAAAGTTGTTTAAAATTAAATTTCCTACAATTCTGCTTTTTTTTGTACGATCGATTTTTTTCGATTTATACCCGAAAAGAGGGAGTAAATTTTTGGTTATAGAATAACTCGTTTATTTTCAATTTTACGAGAAAAATTGTTATAAACAAAGTTGTTTAAAATTAAATTTCCTGCAATTCTGCTTTTTTTTTGTACGATCGATTTTTTTCGATTTATACCCGAAAAGAGGGGGTGAATTTTTGGTTATAGAATAACTCGTTTATTTTCAATTTTACGAGAAAAATTGTTATAAACAAAGTTGTTTAAAATTAAATTTCCTACAATTCTGCTTTTTTTTGTACGATCGATTTTTTTCGATTTATACCCGAAAAAAAGGGGGTGAATTTTTGGTTATAGAATAACTCGTTTATTTTCAATTTTACGAGAAAAATTGTTATAAACAAAGTTGTTTAAAATTAAATTTCCTACAATTTTGCTTTTTTTTGTACGATCGATTTTTTTCGATTTATACCCGAAAAGAGGGGGTGAATTTTTGGTTATAGAATAACTCGTTTATTTTCAATTTTACGAGAAAAATTGTTATAAACAAAGTTGTTTAAAATTAAATTTCCTGCAATTCTGCTTTTTTTTGTACGATCGATTTTTTTCGATTTATACCCGAAAAAAAGGGGGTGAATTTTTGGTTATAGAATAACTCGTTTATTTTCAATTTTACGAGAAAAATTGTTATAAACAAAGTTGTTTAAAATTAAATTTCCTACAATTTTGCTTTTTTTTTGTACGCTCGATTTTTTTGTATTTGTCCCTGAGAAGATTGGGGGTAAACTCTTAGAAAAAATCGGAATCATAATTGTACCAAATAACATTTTTGAAAATCAGCAAAAAAAACAAACAGAAAAAATAATGGTACAACGTCAATAATGAACGTGACAATACAATACTTAGGTTCACCCCCACTCTTCTCAGGGATACATTCAAAAAAATCGATCGTACAAAAAAAAACAGAATTGTAGGAAATTTAATTTTAAACAACTTTGTTTATAACAATTTTTCTCGTAAAATTGAAAATGAACGAGTTATTCTATAACCAAAAATTCACCCCCTCTTTTCGGGTATAAATCGAAAAAAATCGATCGTACAAAAAAAAAGCAGAATTGTAGGAAATTTAATTTTAAACAACTTTGTTTATAACAATTTTTCTCGTAAAATTGAAAATAAACGAGTTATTCTATAACCAAAAATTCACCCCCTCTTTTCGGGTATAAATCGAAAAAAATCGATCGTACAAAAAAAAAAGCAGAATTGTAGGAAATTTAATTTTAAATAACTTTTGTAAAAACTATTTTCCGTGTAAAATTGAAAATAAATGAGTTATTCAAGATACAAAAAATAACCCTTTAAATCAAGATGGCGGAGGTAACGACAACTTTGGAATCCCAACTTTTTGAATTTAGACTACCAGAGACCCCCTCCAACGAATTCCGAAGGAAAATTGCTGCTTCGAATTTTTCAGAATCTAAAATACTAATCCGATTGGGCTAGTGTGAAAACAATCGGATCGCTTCTCAAATGTACAAGAAATGACAGGATGCCTGCCGCTGAGGCACCAAACAGCTGGAATGGCGGAGAGTGCCGTTTACTCATAGGAATGGAATGTTCGAGAGCCTGTCGTATTTTCCAGTAGCGGAGTTGGAATAATATAAATAGCCGACGTATCAGCGCCGAGTTTAGTTGAAGATAGAACATTGTATTGGAAAGTTAAAGTGTAAGAAATAAATTAGAATTGTTAGTTAGTGTTCAAATATTATATAAATTAAATAGTACGTCTGAAATAAATTGTAAATAGTGTGTTTTTAAATAAATAAACTAAAAATAAATTAGACTTTCGTCACAATAATTTATCATTTTGTCCAATCCCTTCAGGCACTTTTTAAATTGCCCGGACATTATAAATACTGCCCAGTTATTTACATTGCCCGTAACATATATATTATTATGTAACATCTATAATTATTGTCCCATACATAATTTCTAGAATGGACCGTATTGTATTTGAGATAATTGAGAAAATGTGCAAATTTAGAATTTTGAAGATAACTCAAGAACGGATAAAGAGAAAAACACCAAATTATATATTTAAGCTTTAATCCATCCTGCGGTGAACTGATTAGATTTTGGACATAGTCGAAACAACTTGGGGGGGGGAGGGGTACTTTATGGGGGGTCGTTTTTCTATTTCATAGAATATATCTGTTATTTACGCTTGAAGAAGAAAATTCTACAAATAAAAGTTGCTTGTAATATTATTCTCTATAATCTTCGTTCTATACAAAATTTTCCTAAAATGGCCCGTATTCAAGAAATTTGACATGTAAAAAAATTAAATTTTAAGAAAATTGTTAAAATAAAAGTTGTTTGCGATATCCTTCTCTATGGGCGATTCGCACTGCTAGTAGTTAAGAAATAAACGAAGCTTAAAATTACATTGTCTATGGAAAAATGTCATTTTAAGCTTGGCTTATTTTTTAACGACTATGGACCGTAATGGAAAAATTTGAGAAAAAGTGTAAAATTTCAATTATTCAGTATTTTCGTTGGCAAAGAATACATATGAAGGGAACAGGAAAAGAAGGCGATATGTCAATTTTTTTCGAAATTGAATTAATCAAGCCATCTATGAGATAAAGCTGTAAACTTTTCCCTTAGAAACTGTCATAGCTAAAAGAGCGATCAGTCAGCAGATAACACCCCTTCTATTTTTGCCACACAGGCTAAAAATGCAATATGTTAGCACGGAACCACGTAAGAAGGTCAGACAGACAGACATCACATGAGAACCGTTGAATTTTAGTACTGTAGACTCATTAAGTCATTAAGGCATTTTATTATAATATTACTGTTTCTTTTTATATTTCATACTAAATAAAACACCTTCCTTTCCTTTTTGAATGTGACTTTTTGGGAAAAATTGTTTTTTTACTATACAAATTGTTAAAAAAATTAACTAAGAGGTATTTGTAGCACATTACCCTAATAATAATAGTAAATTTATCCTATTTTACTTTTATAAATAACTTTCTAGAGTACCTAAAATCTTTAAAAGCGTTATTCTCAAAACTAACTTTTTTGACAAATCGCCTTTGCCCGTACCCTTCATATAGAAAAATTTTCGAGTAAGATGTGTGTGGAAAATGTAAACATTTACAGGGGTGATACAATAGGTTGTACAAAATAACCGGAAAAAGTGTGGGATTTTTAAATTATTATAATTTGATTATTTTATATGAAATGGATGTTTCGTTAACACAGTATTATTTTTAAACCATTAAGTCATGTAGCAGGGTTGGAAAAAATCCGGTATTAACAAAAACTGATCTACAAAAAAATGTTTTTAAACTGCCCTTACATACCATTTGGTCGTAGGTGAGTGTCGCCACAGCTACCTTGCAGATTTCCACTAGACGGGAATTTTGACGGAGTCCCGCCTGCCAGGCCTGACCTGCGCTTTCCACCAAAGTCACTATGCCGTCCGGTTGGACATGAAAACCCAGCTGGCCCATAATGTTGCGACTGAAATTTTTGCTTTAGGAGAATGAAATAATAAAAATTGATTGTATGTACAACATGCAAAAGAACGTACTGAATAAGGTCAAACTTTAAAATTAGTTTATTTATATAAAAAAAAATAAAAAAAAAAAAATAAAAAATAGAAAAAAAAAAAAACAAAAATAAAAAAATAGAAAAAATAGAAAAAAAAAAATAGATAAATATAAAAAAATAGAAAAAAAATATAAAAAAATAGAAAAGAATAGAAAAAAATAGAAAAGAATAGAAAAAAATAGAAAAAATTGAAAAAAATAGAAAAAAATAAGAAAAATAAAAAAAATAGAAAAAAATTGAAAAAATAAAAAATAGAAAAAAATAGAAACAATAGAAAAAAATAGAACAAAAATAGAAAAAAATAGAAAAAATAGAAAAAAACAGAAAAAATAGAAAAGAATAGAAAAAAATAGAAAAAATAGAAAAAAGAAAAAATGGAAAAATTAAAAATAAAATAGAAAAATATAGAAAAAAAAAATAAAAAAATTAAAAATAGAAAAAAATAAAAAATAGAAAAATATAGAAAAAAATAGAAAAAAAATAGAAAAGAATAGAAAAGAATAGAAAAAAATAGAAAAAAATAGAAAAAATAGAAAAAAATAGAAAAAAATAAAAAAATTGAAAAAAAAAATATCCATAAAAGTATAATCAGTCAAAGCATTTGGCACTTGGGGGGGTAAAGAGCTATAAGTCGAAAATGTTCAAAATTGAGTTAAATCTGCCACGATACTTCTAAACTCATTCTGTACCCCTGGGAAAAGGGATATAAATAATGAGAAAAAGGATATAAATAATGGGAAAAGGGATATAAGTAATTTAAACCTTACAAAATTTGGGTATTTAAAAAAACCGTTATTGAAACGCGAATATTAAAACTTTAAACTCAATTTATCATAATTTTTGATTTAGGACATGTACCCCTTTACCCCCAAGTGCCATTTATTTTTAAGTGTTCAATCATTGAAATTTTTTAAAATTCAAATCTTCTAACAGAAAAAAATAGAAAAGAATAGAAAAAATTGAAAAAAATTGAAAAAAATAGAAAAATAAAAATAAAATAGAAAAATATAGAAAAAAATAATAAAAAATAGAAAAAAAAATAGAAAAAAAAAAATAGAAAAGAATAGAAAAAAAATAGAAAAAAATAGAGAAAAACAAAAAATATAGAAAAAATAGAAAAAAATAGAAAAAAAAATAGAAAAGAATAGAAAAAATAGAAAAAAATAGAAAAAAATTAAAATAAATTAAAAAAATAAAATAAATAAAAAAATTGAAAAAAAAAAAAAAATAAAAAAATATCCATAAAAGTATAATCAGTCAAAGCATTTGGCACTTGGGGGGTAAAGAGCTATAAGTCGAAAATGTTCAAAATTGAGTTAAATCTGCCACGATACTTCTAAACTCATTCTGTACCCCTGGGAAAAGGGATATAAATAATGAGAAAAAGGATATAAATAATGGGAAAAGGGATATAAGTAATTTAAACCTTACAAAATTTGGATATTTAAAAAAACCGTTATTGAAACGCGAATATTAAAACTTTAAACTCAATTTATCATAATTTTTGATTTAGGACATGTACACCTTTACCCCCAAGTGCCATTTATTTTTAAGTGTTCAATCATTGAAATTTTTTAAAATTCAAATCTTCTAACAGAAAAAAATAGAAAAAATAGAAAAGAATAGAAAAAATTGAAAAAAATAAAAAAAAGAAAAAATAGAAAAAATAAAAATAAAATAGAAAAATATAGAAAAAAATAAAAAATGGAAAAAAATAGAAAAAAACAAAAAAATAGAAAAAAATAGAAAAAATAGGGAAAAACAAAAAAAAAAATAGAAAAAAATAGAAAAATAAAAATAAAATAGAAAAATAGAGAAAAAAATAATAAAAAATAGAAAAAAAATAGAAAAAAAAAATAGAAAAGAATAGAAAAAAAATAGAAAAAAATAGAGAAAAACAAAAAATATAGAAAAAATAGAAAAAAATAGAAAAAAATCGAAAAAAAAAAAAAAAAATGGAAAAAGAAAAAATGGAAAAAGAAAAAATAAAAAATAGAAAAATATAGAAAAAAATATAAAAAATAGAAAAAAATAGAAAAAAATAGAAAAAAATAGAAAAAAATAGAGAAAAATAGAAAAGAATAGAAAAAATAGAAAAAAATAGAAAAAAATAGAAAAAAATTAAAATAAATAAAAAAAATAAAAATAAATAAAAAAATTGAAAAAAAAAATAAAAAAATATCCATAAAAGTATAATCAGTCAAAGCATTTGGCACTTGGGGGGTAAAGAGCTATAAGTCTAAAATGTTTAAAATTGAGTTAAATCTGCCACGATACTTCTAAACTCATTCTGTACCCCTGGGAAAAGGGATATAAATAATGAGAAAAAGGATATAAATAATGGGAAAAGGGATATAAGTAATTTAAACCTTACAAAATTTGGGTATTTAAAAAAAACCTTTATTGAAACGAGAATATTAAAATTTTAAACTCAATTTACCATAATTGTTGATTTAGGACATATACCCTTTTACCCCCCAAGTGCCATTTCTTTTTAAGTCTTCATTGAAATTTTTTTAAATTCAAATCTTCTAATTGATATTTTTCTAAATATAAGAATATGAATCTAAAGTTGGACATACAAGTTCAAGCGTTCAAATTTAAAGTTATATATTAGTAAACGGCACTTACAAAAATAAAATAAAAACTACTACCTTATAGTCAACTCCTGGGCGACGTGTCCGAACGTCACCGACTTCAATCGATCCATGATTTCCATCAATTCGTCTCGATCGCCGTGCGAATCGCGCATATGTATCGTCATGCACTCCCCCTGGTGGTGATACAATCTCAGACTGTTCGTTTGCGGCGACCATCCCAAAATCGATTTGCACGGCGTTACGAAAACGATTTGTCGCGAATGTTCTTCGATGAGAACGAACGTATCGGAAGAAATGCCAAGGAAACATTCGATTTGTTGTCCTTGGCCGCTATCGTCTAATAATACTTGCCATAAAATGGCACCTCTTTGGCATAGGTCCGGTATGAACCGGGGACGGATTTTTTCCTTCTTTTTGCTGCTGAATATCGCTGAAAATAAACAGGGAATTATTAGACGATGATAAATCAATAAGGCAATTCGATTTTAGTTGCAGTACCTAATTCTCACAGTAGATCTAGTTTAAGACTAAGTAAAACATAGTGTAACGTTATAAATAAAGTTTCAGTTTTATTTCCGGAATATTAACGACATTTAATAATTATACACTCCTGGGAAAAACATTCAGGCACGCCACTGGTACGAGGACTATTTGTCAGAGTCACTTGTAGGAGGTCAATAATTTGGGTCTTGCGCGGTCGGATGATAGAAGGAAACCGTTAAGTATTCTTTCGCTCAACCAGCATCAGCTAATATTTATTCGTTTTGTGTGTATGTGTTCGGCGACCAAATAGGTAAAGCGCCTACAACAAAGAGATTAGATACCTCGAAATAAAGAGGCCAACAAAGAGGTAAAGCGGTTACAACGAGGATAGAATAGATGAAGGTGTCCAAGTAGTAGAATAGCCGTGGAGCTGTAGAAACCGCCATTATTGTCAACCAGACATCTGTAACCTTCTTTTGGGGCTCCGGAATGATTGACAGCTTCCAGTTCAGCGATGAAAAATCATCGACCGTGCAACCAACACAGCTAAGTCTCAGTCGGTGATGCCTGAGCATTTTTACCGATTTATATATATTGAGCCACGTTTGTTAATTAATATAAGGTCACAAAGTCACTTGGTAGTCTATTCAATTTAATTCAATCTAAATAAATTGTTTTTATTATAAAAAATTTGGAACTGATCAGTAACATAACCCAGTAGAGTTTTGTTTAACGTTTACATTAAAGTTACTATTCTTTAATTTAATTCTTTTAATTTCTTCCTACTTTCAGCTAGCAAATTAATGGCATAATTTGTATTTATTAACCATCTAAATACATGGCGTCTTTGACCATTAATATAACATTTTCTTGTCTTTCTAAATAAAGATAGTACCATTGATTTGTTAGTCAAATTCTAAGCCGAATGTCACCGACCCTGCTGAATTAGGCCGAGGGTAACATTTCTGACACCCAACTTGTCATGTAACAGATTTGGCATTGAATTTAAGTATCACGTAGCAAATTGGCACCAACGTGGTTTTACGTATTACAATATCGTCGACAATAAATAGTGTTACAAGTTACAAGTCCCAATAGTATTGACCATTTATAAAAACAAGTTACATTTCTAATATCAGACTGCATCATTATATATACCAATGACACAACTGAATATTGCAACAAATAAAATCTTATAGAAAACCAACAAAAATGTCTTCTGTATATAAAAAAATCACAAAATATGGGAACCATGGGCTAAAAACAATTAAGAAAACGCAGACCTATTTGTCCAATATTTAGCTATTGTATTTTCAATCAAATTAATGATATTTGTTGAAATACACTTAAAATTGCACCTTAACTCGCTTCTGCAGTATTAAATCTTATGTCAACCCTGTACAATTAGTCCAAAACGTGGAAACAAACAGAACTATTTTGGTCACCCCCTTGTGGTATGTAAGCGTCGCTTCGTAGTCAATAGAATATGTTCCGTAAGTGACAATCTAAATCAATACTTGATTGCCCTTAATGCCCCCTGTCAGTTGTCACTACCAATGAATTACTTCTCACCGAGTGAAGTCCGCAATGAAATCAGACTTCTTAACTCACACAAAGCTCCCGGATTTGACCTTATTACTGGCGAAATCTTAAAAAATCTCCCAAGAAAAGGTATCGTCCTAATAACTATCATTTTCAATAGCCTCCTTAGGCTATGCTATTTTCCAGTGCAATGGAAGAACGCACAAATTATAATGATACCTAAACCTGGTAAATCTCCAACTGAAGCTAGTTCGTACCGACCAATAAGTCTCCTTCCGACTTTATCAAAAGTCTTTGAAAGGCTTATTCTCAACAGAATAAAAACATTAATACCTCTAGAAAATCTAATCCCAGATCACCAGTTTGGATTTCGCTTGAGTCACTCAACCATACAACAGTGCCACAGGGTAGTCAATAGAATAAAAGAGGGCGTAGAAGAAAAACTATTCTGTATAACAGCATTCCTTGATATACAGCAAGCATTTGATAAAGTGTGGCATGAGGGTTTCCTCGTTAAAATCAAAACCCATCTGCCCGACCAATCATACCTCCTCCTGAAATCATATTTGTCTGATAGATACTTCCAAGTTAAATACGAAGAAACTTTATCCAACTAAAATCCGGAGTACCTCAAGGCAGTGTACTCGGCCCGTAATTTTCATTGCTGACATACCCATCAGTGATCATACATTAATGGCAACATTTGCGGATGACACTACTATACTAGCATCAGACAGATGAAATAAGAGCATTCAACAAACTGCAAAACCACCTCAACGAACTAGAAAATTGGCTTAGTCACTGGTAAATTAAAGTCAACACCAACAATTCCTGTCGAGTTAATTTCACAAATCGAAGAATAAGATGTCCACAACTATACTTAAATAATACGCCTATACCAATAAATACAGAAAATACTTGGACTTCATTTAGACGAAAAACTTACTTGGAAATCACATATTAAATCTAAACGACGGCACCTCGACCTAAAAGTTAAAAATATGAGCTGGTTAATCAAAAGAAGATCAAAACTTTCATTAGAAAAAAAAATGGTCATCTATAAAGCAATACTCAAACCAGTCTGGACATACGGAATCGAGCTGTGGGGCTGCAGCAAACCATCCAACACTAAAATACTACAGACGTTCCAGTACAAGACTATTCGAATGTTAGCTAACGCCCCATGGTACGTTTCCAACCAAACTCTTCATACAGACCTCAACATTTCCTTCATAGATGATGTGATTACCCACCACTCCAGAAAATATATGAATCGCAGTGAAAACCATCTAAACCACCTCATAGTCGAACTCTTTAACCCTCCACTCATCGATAGACGCTTAAAAAGACTTTGGTCAGAAGACCTAGCTGCTAGGTAAATTCCAGAGAGTCGTCAGTGGACGACACCTGCGTCAAGCCACCCACTTCCATCAAAGGACCCCGCAATAATCTTATGGAAATTGGGTTTCTGTCAAATTGTCTGAATTTTTGATATGTTGTAGATTTTGTAATCCTGAACAAAAGTCTTTATGGGCACAAAGTGCTAAAATGAATATTTTGGCAGCTACGGAGCTGCCAGAGCTTCCCTGACCCGTTGCAAAACTATTCATTTTCAATACTATTTACAGATGTCAAAAGCATATTTTAATAATTCTAATATATAGGGTAATGTTTTTGAGGTCACTGGATTCAACCCTCATGTCAGATTGGACAAATTGACCGTTGACAGCTGTCAATTCACGGTCAACGAGGAATATAAAAGTAAATATCCTATTTTCACATTGAAAGGATATTGAAGAAACAAGCGAAGATCATGATAGAAAAAACAGTTCGATGAGTAGTTTGTCAATGCATACTATACTCATTGTTATGCACATCAACTAAACTTAATTATGTCTCAGAGTGCATCAAGTAATAAATCAGCCAAAGTATTTTTTTCAAATTTGTCTGCTATTCCAACATTTTTTTCAAATTCACCCGCACGTCTATCAGCATTAGATGAATCAGTTGCTCGTAGAATACCATCTGTTTGTACAACTCGATGGAATTACCAATCAAGGGCTGTAGATGTTGTTTTTCAAAATCGTCAAAAACTGATCGAATGTTTTGAAGAACTCCAGAATTATTCTTCCGTTAAAACTGTAAGAAAAGCGAGTGGCTGTCTACGACTTTTGGAAGACTTTGATTTTAATTTTTGGTAAAACTTTTTCCATTGTCTAATGCCACACATCGATATTTTATTCAATCAATTTCAGTCGCGGGATTCATGTTGCTCTACAATAAAAAAAAATGTAGGCACATTTTTGAGTATCATCGAGAAAGTGCGAGGAGAAGCAGAGGATATTTTAAAAGAAGTTTCAGAAGACTCGAGTGTGTGCTCCACAGGGAGAAGAAACGAAGACTTTAAAATCCGCGATGCAATAGAAGTTTGTGATATTCTTTCTACATAAGCAAAGGACAGGTTTGAAAATACGGACTACGACGACATTGCACGATTATTAAATTGCAATCATTTTAATCTTTTCGCTATTTCTTTTTGTAGAATATCTAATATAATTATTTCATATTATTTTATAGGTTCAAATTTAATTTTTTATCTTGTAGAGACATTTTTATATTTTGTACCGCAGTTGAAATACCAGTTGGAATTAAATGGTTGTAGAATCAACATATTGTGTTTAATTCATAGACCATAATTAGTTGGTTGCAATCACCCTCAAATTAGGGTTAAATATATTGCACTTTTTAAACAAATATAAACTTAAAACTGAGCTAAAGGTGTTATATGAAAGACCAGATTTGAGAAATTTTTCAGGTCTCCTATAACTTTTAAATTTCTTATATGATAACGACTTAGATGATTCACTTGATGAGGTAATAACATTAATTTTAATTTTGGTTATAACACCCATATCCACGGCAGAAGCAGAGCGTTGTTTTTCGACTTTAAAACGAATTAAAACTTTTTTGCGAAACACTATGTCACAGGACAGGCTTAATGCTTTGACAATGTTATCGGTAGAAAAAAATCTGATGTGTCCAACACATCACTTTCCTATCTAGTTATTATAGGCTTTTTCCGGTTATTTTGTACAACCTATTGCAGCATCTCTATAAATGTTTAGAGGATAAACTAAATATATACATTGTCCACATACATCTACCGCGAAACATTTTTCTATAGATATTCATTGAAAATGAAAATACTGAAAAATTTAAATTTAGCACTTTTCCTACAATTTTTTCATTACGGTAAATTTTAGAAAAATCATGTATAAACAAAAATTATAGAGACCGATATCGCAAACAACTTTTAGTTCAACAATTTTCATAAAAATCAGAATTTTGCACATTTTGTAAAATTTCTCGAATACGGACCATTTCAGGAAATTTTGACATCAAACA